CTTTTTGCTAGACATGGAATTGAGCGTATTTCTTTCCTAGAAGACCAAGCTGGAGTAGGCCTGACATACCATTCCAGCATAAATCAGGAAACTGTAACAATGTCATGGATTGCAGGCAATGTTTTCTAAGAATCGAAACAGTATTGAGAATCCACCAGCCTATAGACCAGTGGTTCTCAACCTTTTTAACGCCGCGACCCCAACCGGTCGTAAGTCGAGGACTAAACCGGTCGTAAGTCGAGGACTTTCCCTGCCCGGGAGCACCGCGCATGTGTGGTTCCGCCCCCTGCGCCAGCCGAGGCGTAGCTGGCAAGCGGCAGAGACGGAGCAGGCCGACCACCAGCTGGCCCAGCCCAAGGGAGGTAAGGCACCCGCCGGAAAAGGGGAAAAAAATGGCGGACAAAAAAATGGCGGACAGCCTTGCTTGGCGCCCCCCGTGAAATGGTCGATCGACCCCAAATGGGGTCCCGACCCACAGGTTGAGAACCACTGCTATAGACATTTGAATTGCAACCCATTGTTTTGCTGTCCTATTATAATCTTCCCCATCAGCTGTATAAAAAGAGGGAACAGCTACAAGAGATTGCTACTTCTATTACTATTCCCACTGACAGTTCATAACGACAGTTACAATCAGCTAACTTCACTGATCAATATATATATATTCATAATTCTCCTCTTACAAAAAAGGAACAGGGGAGGAAAAATAAATTAATTTATAAATATTTAGCCTTGCCCAATTTGGTATTAATCTATAATCAATTCAATGCAGGTACTTCTTATTTAGCAAGTGTCTCATACAGGGACTATTCACAGTTACAACAGTGACAAAAAAGTAACTTTGTTCCCTTCACAGATGGTACACTCTGAAGAGTACAAGCACAGCGTGGTTCCACTTAGTGACCGCTCCACTTAATGGCCAAGTTGCCAGTCCCAACCTGGTTGTTAACTATATATGAGGGCTAACTACATATGAATAAAATAAATATTCTGTTGCACTCAAAATCCAGTTAAATGCTTTTAAAGGGCTAAAAGAAAACCATGAAAACCACAACAGAATAGCTTACTCATATGCATATGTTTGCCATCATTGCCCAATTACATTATTGTTAAAAATAAACTTAAACTGTCTTGAACCAGGTCTTAAACTACATACAGACACAAACCGTATTTTGCAGGTAGAGCACTGTCAAGATTTGAAGGTGCAATCTACAAATCAAGCAGGTCAGTTCCAAAATGTTTCAGAAATAATTGTATATAACCTAAGACTTATCATACCCTTCTAAATATTTTTAATTTGTCAGGGTTCATTTCACCAAATCCTTTGTGTAGATGCTTAGAGTTAAGCCTTTGAGAGACTAAGCAGTTGCCAAGGAAATTTAGAAATGTGGTTTACTGCCAAAACTCAATCACAATTTGCGTCAATATTTCGTGATCAATAATATGAGCGGTTCCAATATAGGTAATTGGGTTATAACAGTGGTGGCAAACCTATGGCACGAGTGCCAGAGGTGACACTCAGAGCCCTCTCTGTGGGCACGCGCGCCATCGCCCCAGTCCTAGGCCTTCAGCTGGGTTTTATAAAACCTTTTTGCTTTAGGCCTCCGCAGGGCTCTGGAGTCGGAGTCGGAATCGAGGAGTCAGAGGAAATTTTGGGTACTCGGAGTCGGAGTCGGCAAACAATGCACCGACTCCGACTCCTACTAAATTTAGATTGGAATTTAAAAAAAAGCAAGTTTAAATGTCCCAATTCACAAAAAGTTATAATGACTTCTCTACTGTAAGAATAAAGACCAATGCATGCAGTGCCTCACGTAACCGCAAAACGAACACGTTAAGTGACCGTGAAGAAGCATACTTTTCATGTGCTTCACTATATGGCACGCAACGCACAATTAGGAGCAGCAATACTTATACTTTCCATAGTGTTGTGTTCTGCTGTTACAGTGAACGCAGCGCCCATGGGTAACCTAGCCTCTCACTGATAAGGGATTAAGTAAATATGTTTTTTGCAGGACTAGAGACACTTGTATAAGTGAAGGGAATGGAGGGTCAATAGTTCAAGACTGAAGCTGTAAACCATTGGAAAAACTGCTGTCATTCAGCTAAGGCTATAAAAACTTGTAAACTCCGATTGTTAGCTTATTAATACAGAGGAGTCGGAGTCGGGGAGTCGGAGTCGGAGTCGGAAGTACAAAAACCTGAGGAGTCGGAGTCGGAACATTTATCTACCGACTCCACAGCCCTGGGCCTCCGCCACCGTGTGCAAAAAAAAAAAAGGTTCAATCAATCAGTCAATTTCAACTTCTCGCAGGAAAAAAAAAGATCTTGCAAAGTTGGAATTGATTGATTGAACTTTTTAGTCCCACCCAGTCTGCCGTTACCACTGCAGCCACACCCACCCAATGGGCCACTCCCACCCAATGGGCCACACCCACCTGGCACCCGACGATGCATAAGTGGGTTTTGGGTTGCAGTTTGGGCACTCGGTCTCTAAAAGGTTCGCCATCACTGGGTTATAACGATAATTGGGGCTATCGTCAAGGATTGCAATCATAAAGCGCAATGTTACATGACTGTGTAACTTCATGACAGCAGTTCTGGCAGTCTTGGTTGCCACTGTTAAGTGAGAACCATGTGGGTCATTAAGCGAAGACTTCATCTGACCCTGACTTCCTGCCAGCTTCCCCAATGACTCTGTGGGGCTTGCTGCGATGGCTGAAACTCCAAGGACCCCTTGTAAGTCCCTCTCATTCATTACCACAGAACCTTGAACAGTTACTGAATGAGTGATGGTAACATAAAGAATATCAAATAGTTGCATCAAAGCTACAGAAAGGCTTCCTGTGTCCTGCACCCTCCTCTTTGCCCATGAGTCTAGCTATACTTGCAAGAGCCCCCTTGGAGTCCATGCTGTTAAGCTCCCTTGACCTGTGAGGGCCCCTCCTCCCTGGACAGGGAGGTTTTCAAAATAAGGTGCCAGACTCCTTGCAGTCTAGACTGGAAATTGTTAAGGATATATGCAACTGCTTAGATCAATGGCATTGATTAGAAAGTTAAGGTTCCAATCAAGAATTCCAGCGATATCTTAATAATAATAATAATAATAATAATAATAATAATAATAATAATAATAATAAAGTTGGAAGGGACCTTGGAGGTCATCTAGTCCAACCTCCTGCTCAGGCAGGAAGCCCTATACCATTTCAGACAAATGGCTGTCCAGTCTCTTCTTAAAAACTTCCAGTGTTGGCGCATTCACCGCTTCTGGAGGCAGGTTGTTCCACTGGTTAATTGTTCTCACTGTCAGGAAGTTTCTCCTTAGTTCTAGGTTGCTTCTCTCCTTAATCAGTTTCCATCCATTGCTTCTTGTCCTGCCTTCAGGCGCCTTGGAGAATAGCTTGACTCCCTCTTCTTTGTGGCAGCCCCTGAGATATTGGAAAACTGCTATCATGTCCCCCCTCGTCCTTCTCTTCGTTAAACTAGACATACCCAATTCCAGCAACCGTTCCTTATATGTTTTAGCCTCCAGTCCCCTAATCATCTTTGTTGCTCTTCTCTGTATTCTTTCTAGAGTCTCAACATCTTTTTTACATCGTGGTGACCAAAACTGGATGCAGTATTCCAAATGTGGCCTTACCAAGGCATTGTAAAGTGGTATTAATACTTCACGTGATCTTGATTCTATCCCTCTGTTAATGCAGCCTAGCACTGTGTTGGCTTTTTTGGCACCTGCAGCACACTGCTGGCTCATATTTAAATGATTGTCCACTAGGACTCCAAGATCCCTCTCACAGTTACTACTATTGAGCAAGGTACCCCCTATACTATACCTGTACATTTGGTTTTTCCGTACGTAGCCAATTTAGAGCAGGAAAAGCCGTGTCCATTTCCTTGCACTTTTTCGTCCAGGGCTAGAAGCATCTGAAGCTAGTCCTCAACTGTTCCTTGCTCTGATCATTGACAGCCCTCCTACTGGTTTGAGAAATAACCCTTGCTCATTGAGATAAAAGGTTGTGGAGTTCATTCTGATCCCTCTCCTGACACTGATGCCATGTCGTTCTCTTTCTGAGAGCTTTTGGGTTTTTTTTTTAGGTTGTAATGGATGTCTGCCTCTTGGCGTTTCATCAACAGACGCTGGAATTCTCTTTTCCTGGTTTTCATTTTGTTGCCAATTCAATTCCTTTCATTACTGACAATGTAAGTTAGTCCTCATTTAGCAATCACAATTGGAACCGGCAATCCCATCACTAAAGGAAGGGATCACAAAGTGCAAAATCATGTGACCCAGGCTGTGCTTCCTAGTTCAACATTGACAAGAGTAATCAGTTTCACATCTTCAGCTTTTGTTTGCCTCCTAATCATACACACACACACACACACACAGTCCTTTGGAATGCTCAGTTGGGACAATTAAGAAAAAAATGTTTGTAGTTACATTTGTTGGAGAGGAGGGGATTACAAGAAAGTAAGAAGGCACACAATGAGGAATATCTGCATAGTGCACTTGCAGCTGTTGGCACATTGCTTTTGATATACAGTATATTCCCCACTGTATGCCTGCTTACTCTCTTGTAATCCTTCCTCTCTATTCTCTCTGGTTTGCAAGGGGGGAAACAAAGACCAAGAACAGGTCAGCATAACACAACAGATACTGACTATATGGCAATCACAAGACAAAGACACTGCTGAGGTCATAAATGCAGGTATTGCTTACAAAGTTATTTTTTTCAACACTGTTGTAACTTTGAAAAGTCACTCAATGATGCAGCTGGTAAGTGAGGACTACCTGGACAGTAACTGTATTCTTTTTAATACATGTTGATCTTCCATACACAACAGTGCTTTTTAATTTAGAGTGGGATATATTAGTAAGATAAATGCCTCTGAGCATCAAGGAAAAATATTTTATGAACATGAAGCATCAACATTACAGAAAAATATAGTGGAAGTAAAGTAAACACAAATGTGTCTTACATTACTAAAAAATAAAAACTCACCCACTTGGCAATTGGACACCCCTGGGAACTTTTTCCTTCTCTGCCTGTATACACCACTACCTCTATTCTTATAGCGCTTCCTTTTGCTCCATACCTGCACAAAGGGAAACAGAAAAATAATCAATTAACAGATGGTTAAAAGACAGCAACAGTTACTGTGAGATCCGCTCTGAATTGAATCTATGACATTTTTGAAGGCAATATTCTCTGAAACAGATTCATCTAATCCCTACCAAAGGAGCATAACGTAACAATATAAATACAGATTAATTTTTTTAAATAACAAAGCATTAAATTTGAGGCAACACATGTTAGCACAAAGAGAAAGGCCTGATGTTGCTTCTAAAAATGATAAGATTCACTGTTTTTGAAGATCCTCAAAAACCTTAAGATTTAAGAGCAGTCACCAACATATCTTCCCAGGGACGCACAGTGCTTAAGAGAGCATGCTAGTACACTTACAAACAGAGAGCTGAAAATGAAACGGTAGAAATTGCAAGGAATTAAATTTCATCTATACATTTGAAGACATTTCTTAACAGTAAGAGCTGTTCAACAGGAGATTTGAATACCTCTTACCTAATGATGTCAGCTCCGCTAGGTAAACTAGACCGGGAAAGCAACTCCACAGGAAGTCTTTTATAGGGATTAGCTAGAACAGACATGTCAAACTCACAACGTCACATGACGTCGCGCAACGTATCGGGACTGTTTTGCCATTGCCGGCAATGGGGTGGGTGCGGCTTCCGCATGACGCATCCGGCCCATGGGCCGGCAGTTTGATACACCTGAGCTAGAATAACAAAATCTTGTAACTCTGATTATTCTTTCCTCCTTTTTATATTGCAATGAATTAAGGAGGCCTGAGCCACTTCCAAATGCTATCTCACTGTGACTTAGTAATGCTTCAACCCCTTTTGCCCAGGCAACAGATCCTACATATCTCTGTCAAGATCACCTTAGGTGTAGCTCTCCAGCCTTGAAAGTACTATCCAAGACATTGTCATTACATGCTTTATAGTATGAACATAGTTATGGACTAGATCAGCTTTCCCCAACTTGGCTGGAAAATTAGGATGTCCTCCACGCCATCTGGAAGGATGCCTAAATTGAACAAGGCCAAACTAGAGGATTTCCAAGATCCATCCCAACATACAAAAATGTCCTGTCATATTAGAAATCCTCCTTTTTACTGCAAGTAAAAGAGACAGTCTAGTGGTTAAGGCACCAGGCTAGAAAGCAGGAGATCAACAGTTCAAGTCTCGCCTTAGCCATGAAAAGCCAGCTGGATGATTTTGGGCCAGTCATTCACTCCCAGCCCAACTCATCTCACAGGGTTGTTGTTGTTGTGGGGAAAACAGGAGGAAGAAGGTGTATTGGATATGTTCGCCGCTTTGAGTTATTTGTAAAAATAATAAGAGTGGGATACAAGTTAATCAAATAAATAAGTATCCTGCAGTACTCAGAGTGCTACTGTGGTATCTGAAGTTTGCAATAATGCGTTTTTCTTTTGTTGCTGGTTTAAGAGGTGGGGGGGACTAAATCCTTTCCCCCTTGGACATCGCTCATTCTCTCTCACCTCTAAGAAGCAGAGAATGGCAAACCACCTCTGCCATCTTGACAAGAAAGCTGCAGGGACTTCTCAAGAACGACACTGAGTCAGCACTGACTCAAAGGCACTCCGCCCCCCAAAAGTACACTTTTGTACATGCAAATGCAATAATTGTCAAGTAAAAGTGGACACCACGAGGAGGCATTCCTTCTTTAAGAAAGGACAACTTTTTCTACGAGTTTGCCATTGACAATTTGTGCAAATACCTGTGCATTGTGTGCAGGAGCTGCTATCCAACTACCAATGTCCACTTTTAAGTCAATTAATAAAACTATTAGTTAAAGCAATCAGTTTATCAGAACAGTGGGGTTCCAATCAAAATGTTCCACGAACCCAGGCAATCTTCGGTTTTCAGATTTATTCTCTGCAATTAGGAGTACAAGCCCAGTCCAACACGGAGGGAACTAGACGTTAGCTGAAAATTAAGAGAAACTGCCTTTCTTTAATCACCCCCTTAAAAAAAAATTCTTTATACAATATCTATGCTACTTGACTCTCTAATGGGCAGTATAGACCAGAGGTTCCCAATCCCCGGTCTGTAGACCAGTACTAGGCTGTGGCATGCCAGCAATCAGGCCGCACAAACAAGTGAAACCCCATCCGCGGGATGCAGGCAGCACACAAAACCACGCCCCCTCCGGTCTGTGGAAAAACCTCTCTCCACGGAACCGGTCCCTGGTGCCCAAAAGGCTGGGGACCTCTGGTATACATAAATGGTTTTTTTTAATTCAGGTCCTTAATTAATTTCTAGGGGGCTGACAATTAAAAAAAAGGGAAATGGGAAATAAATCCAGGAAAAATACAAAACACAAAGAAAATCACAAGCAGCCCCAAAGATAAACGTGGAAATAAACAGAGCACGGAAGATGGGCAAGATTACCTCCGGGAACATTGTAAGTCTTTAATTATAACCATTTTAGTAAAGAGAAAATGTCTTAACCGAATGGTTCCAGAAACAGCCTTGGTGTTAGCTACTGCTCTTTGATAATTTCGTCATAACTAAATGCTTACAGTTAGGGCTTGTGGGATACCCCTGATCCAAATTTCAAATATAGGTAGTCCTCAACTTTCAACCACTCGTTTAGCAAGCACTCACAGTTACAATGGCACTGGAAAAAGTGACTTATGAGCAGTCATCACACTTACAACCATTGTAACATTCGGGGGGGGGGGGTCATAGGATCACCATTTGTGATCTTCCGAGGTGACTTCCAATGGGGAAAGATGGGTACACTGACCATCCTGTGAGTCACTTAATGACTGGAGTGATTCCCTGAACATGGCAAAAAAGTTGTCAAATTAGATATGACTCACTTAACAATGGAAATTCTTGTCCCAGTTGTGGCCGTGTGTCGAGGGCTACCTGCAGTGTTTTTAGTGGCTCCTTTCATTCCTCACTGGTCTATTTCGGGGGGAAGCTGTTCTTTCAGATCTACATACCATAATTTATGCTGAATCCTCTTGCTTCTTTCTCTGTACCTTTAGTTTGATGCTACTACCAGAATTCCTGATGGTACCACTTCAAAATATGGGCACGTACTTTCAAACCAGGCTCCTGGCCGAATGTTGCTTTTAGACAAATCTTTTTTACAAGAAACAATACGAAGAATCACATCACTTCCTCCCCTTTAACCTTGGAACCCAAAGAAAAACAATATTTTCTCCTCCAGTCTCTACCATCATTGCAAGTAGTTAGTAAAGCTGAAGAGATGAGAAAACAGTAAAAAAAAATCCTGCTAAACAGGAACAGGCCAATGCCAGCTAAGAGCAAATATGCAACATGGATTTGAAAATGCAGGCCTATATTTGCGAGGAGTGCAATTCAGTTTTTTCCTCTTTTTAGGTTCACACAGAGTTATCATCTAGCCGCTTGGTGCATTTAAATGCCATGCTTCTTCAGAACGGCTGCGGGACTTGGGTTTGGCTAGTCTAAAGAAAAGAAGAAATAGGGGAGACGTGACAGCAGTGTTCCAGTATTTGAGGGGCTGCCACAAAGAAGAGGTGGTCACGTTATTCACCAAAGCACCAGAGGGCAGGACAAGAAACAATGGTTGGAAACGGATCAAAGAGAAAAGCAACCTGGAATTAAGGAGAAACTTCCTGACAGTGAGGACAACTAACCAGTGGAACAGCTTGCCTCCAGAAATCGTGGGCGCTCCATCACTGGAGATTTTTAAGAAGAGACTAGACATTCACCTGTCTGAGACGGTGTAGGTTCTCCTGCTTGAGCAGGAGGCTGGACTAGAAGACCTCCAAGATCCCTTCCAGCTCTATTCTATTCTAATATCTTTTTCTTGCTCTCCTTTCATACCTTGCTGTGTCCAATTTCTCCATCATTTCCCAGTTCCAGGTAAGAAATATGCAACATGGTACTAAAGCAATCCTAAATGTTGGGGAGTATGCCAAAGCAGGTGGGCTGGACCCAGGCAGGATGGCAGAAAAGAATGGCATTTGTTCTACTATACTGAAACAAACAAACAAACACTGGAATCTTTTAACACAAGTTGCAGACAAGCAAACAGTAGTTATTTTGTCATCACAATCAAACTAAGAATTACAGAAGCTAAGCAACTGGAGGGAAGAAAAAACAAATTGCAAGAAAAACAAATCAGAAAGAAAATGAATGAGGAAATTGCAGTGCAGACTGCCTTATGTGAAACAGATCTTTATGCAAGTCAAATGTATCTGATGTTAAGTATTGCTAAAAATAGTTTATGATGTTGACAACTTAAGTTACAGTTTTCGTATCACTTGCTCTGTTCATATTAAGCATGTTAATTTGAGCACGTCCCACAAGAAAGTGTCTTGTAATAGTGCAATGTCAGTCAAATTATCTAAAATTTTGTCCTGATTTGAGATTTCAGCATCTTCCAGAGCTCTCAGATTGGCTAATACGGTAACAGGATGCTGAATGAATCCAGGGTGACTTTACTTATACTCAAATAGAGTATAGAGCAGGGGTAGGCAACCTTGGCTCTTTTATGACTCGTGGACTTCAACTCCCAGAATTCCTGAGCCAGCATGGCTGGCTCAGAAATTCTGGAAGTTGAAGTCCACGAGTCATAAAAGAGCCAAGGTTGCCTACCCTTGGCATAGAGTATAACAAACTTTTGAGTTATAAACTTTGACCAATACAAACAAACCTGTCCATAACTCCAACTTAGAAGGTCCCAGAATCCAGGAAAAGGTTACTTTATGTGCACAAAATATGTACACTTGTTTGCAAATATGTATACTTGCAAACAAAATGGACTTACAAACAGGTGCTCTGCACGTAACCTATTTGTAAGCAGAGTACTTGCTGTATACTGCAGGTGGTCCTCGACTTACGGATGTTAATAGAGCCTGCCAATTATATTTGTAACCCGAGGAATTTGTTAATGGGATCGTACTAATTGAATGTGATCCTTCTCTGATTTACCCAATGCATTCGCTAATCGAATGCTCAGGTCATTAAGTGCACATGAGGTATCTCGGGATAGGGAAGACCCGGGGGGGCTAGCGCTTTTGACCACCTAAGGCAGAGGTCCCCAACTTTTGGGGCACCAGGGACCGGTTCTGTGGAGAGAGGTTTTTCTGTAGACCGGAGGGGGCATGGCTTTCTGTGCTGCCTGCATCTCGTGGATGGGGCTTTGCTTGTTTGTGAGGACCGGTTGCTGGCATGCCACAGTCTGGTACTGGTCCACGGACCGGGGGTTGGGGACCTCTGACCTAAGGCCTCTCCCGACCCACTGAGATATTTCATGCTTCCCCCACCCCCATCCTGCCCCACCAGGTCTCCACAGGCACTGTGTCCTTTCAAGCTTCTCTGCCATGGTTTCTTTGCCTCTACTCTTGGTGGCAAAAGCTTTTTGCAAACACGACTGGAGGCTGCAAGGAAATGGCAAACCGACGGAAGGCCAGAAACACCGAAGCCTCCTGTCCATTCGCAAAGCCTTTTGGTGCGGATCTCGTTCAGGCCTCCATTTGCAGAGAAGGGAGGTCTGAAGTAGTGCGAGATCACACGAGATCAGTAGCGGATTCTCTGCGAATGCACAGAACGCCCGAAGCCCCGAAGCAGGCAAAGAAACCGCGGTAGAGAGGCCGGAGAGGAGACACCTTGCTAGATCTTTGCAAGGTAAGTGAGTCTCCACAGGCCCAGTGCCTGTGGAGAATAGGCAGGGCGAATTTGCAGCGCCTCTGTGGTCATTCGTAAGGGTGAACGACTGCCGTGGTGTTGCAACATTCGTAACCTTGGGACTGTGTCGTAAGTACTTGGGGGAGTGATGTCGTCGCTTCAAACGGACGCTAAGTGAACTGTCGTAACTCGAGGATTACCTGTACTAAAACTCTTGTGTCTGATTGTTTGTAAACTTCAATTGAATGAAACGATGCATCCTAGAGCAGTGGTTCTCAACCTTTTTAATGCCGCGACCCCCAACCGGTCGTAAGTTGAGGACTAAACCGGTCGTAAGTCGAGGATTAAACCGGTCGTAAGTCGAGGACTACTCAACCGGTCGTAAGTCGAGGACTTTCCCTGCCCGGGAGCGCCGCGCATGCGTGGTTCCGCCCCCTGCGCCGGCCGAGGCGTAGCTGGCAAGCGGCAGAGACGGAGCAGGCCGACCACCAGCTGGCCCAGCTCAAGGGAGGTAAGGCATCCGCCGGAAAAGGGGGAAAAAATGGCGGACAGCCTTGCTTGGCGACCCCTGTGAAATGGTCGATCGACCCCAAATGGGGTCGCGACCCATAGGTTGAGAACCGCTGTCCTAGAGTAACAATATTTGAATAGACCTACCTTAAAGGACTCACTCACAGCAAGGGTCCTCAATACCCGGGCCGTGCTCCACTACTGGACTTGGAGCCTTTCGGAACCGGGCCATGGAAGTGATGGCCAAGCGCACATGCATCCTCATTCATGGGAGCAGCATGCGAGCTTGCCTGCCGCTAGCATGGAACCATCCCTTCCCCCACACCAGTCTGCAAAGCTGAAAAGGTTGGGGAACTCTGACTTACAGAATGTGTACAAAATTTGGAACTGTGACTCCTGAGGGACTGAAATCTGGCAAAGTTGTGGCCACTTCAGTGATGCCACAGTCAGCCATAGTCAAGTGATCATCATTTCCAATGCTTCCAGCCAGCTTTCTACAAGGAAAGCCTGTGGGAAAGTTGGCAGGAAGTTGGAGATTGCTTCCTGCTTTTCCAATGTACCTGGTCATTCTGGTTTTTTTTTGCTTAAGCATTAGGTATTCAAATATTTCTGAAATGGTGACCCAACGGATCACAGGTTGTCTAACTTTAATTTTCAAGGTTAAATCAATCTCCCTCAATTGGTGCTCTCTGAAGGTATTGGTATTATAGCAATTAATTCCTCTGGAAGGAACCAAATTGCAGAAGACAAGCTGAAGGTTTCTGGAATTTAAATCAAGGTTATGAGGTCTACCTTTCAAAATATATCTAAAGCACAAAAGAAATATGGGATTGCTGAATATCTCCCACCCAACACACATTCCCCAAAATCAGGAATTCGTGCTTCTTCATTACTTATTTGATTTAAAGTCACTTAACTCCAGAACAATTCTGGATAGTATATTGATGCATGGATACGCATTTCAACAGTTTGTCAAACAGAGGATTGATGTTACTGAACAATAATGGGTACAGGCATTTAAAAAACTGATTTTGATTATTTGGTATTTATTCTAGTAAGAACCACAAAGAAATAAAGAACAACCACCTCCAAATCTATCCTATGGCACTTGAAGCAATCTAGTTGAATGAGATAGAGATAGCAGTAGCACTTAGCCTTATGTACCACTTTGCAGTGCTTTACAGCGCTCTCTAAGCAGTTTACAGAGTCAGCATATTTGCCCCCAGCAATCTGGGTCCTCATTTTACTGATCTCAGAAGGATGGAAGGCTGAGCCAACCTTGAGCCGGCCAGGATCGAACTCCTGGCTATGGGCAGAGTCAGCCTGCAATACTGCATTCTAACCACTCGGCCACCACGGCTTGAATATATTTCAATATATTAAAGGAGGGTAATGGGAACTTGGGGAAGGGAGCTGAGTGAGACCTCCAAGCATCCCATGCCTTCTCTCTCCCTAGTGCAGTGGTTCTCAACCTTTTTAATGCCGCGACCCCCAACCGATCGTAAGTCGAGGACTAAACCGGTCGTAAGTCGAGGACTAAACCGGTCATACGTCGAGGACTAAACCAGTCGTAAGTCGAGGACTACCCAACCAGTCGTAAGTCGAGGACTTTCCCTGCCCGGGAGCGCCACGCATGCGTGGTTCCGCCCCCTGCGCCGGCCGAGGCGTAGCTGGCAAGTGGCAGAGACAGAGCAGGCCGACCACCAGCTGGCCCAGCTCAAGGGAGGTAAGGCACCCGCCGGAAAAGGGGAAAAAAATGGCGGACAGCCTTGCTTGGCGACCCCGTGAAATGGTCGATCGACCCCAAATGGGGTCGCGACCCATGGGTTGAGAACCGCTGCCCTAGTGCAAAAGCAGAGCACCGAGTAGACAAAAAAAATCCAAGACTTATAATAGCAAAATGGGGTAGAGATTTGGGTAGCCAACATCTTGTAGGAATGTAAGCCTGTAGATACACACCAGGCCTAGGTGCTCTGGTACAATTATAGCACTATGTGCAAAGCAAAGGCCGAGTACGTAAATTATAATTTGAACAGCTTGTTGCTTCCACAGTTAAGTCTTCAACTACCCTTAGCGACTTGATTACATCACTTAGAAATTAACATGAAAGAGAGATGAATTCTCCACATCTCCATAAAGCATGTCATGACTTTCTACCCAATACCCAATGCGAACAATCACTTAAAGGCAGATGAGAATATTCAAACTCATTTTCTAAAACAGATTCATACTTGCTGTGAGGAAGTGTTCTACTAGCTAGTGTAGTTCATATGCAAGGGCTGTTGTTAAGATCCAACATAACAAAGCAAGCCCACCAAAGCATAACAAGAACACACCAGGTATACTACAGCTACTATCACCACCCATGTGTGTCAAATTGATTTTCATTTATTAGCATTAAGATTTATTTCCTCACCTGTCCTCCATTATTTCTCTGACTGCAGCAATGTTTGGGCCCGTTCCAAGGTGTGTATAATATGGACCCTCATCCTTCTCTACAATTTGTTCTACAAAAAAAAATTAAAATAGCTGTTAAAAACATTGCATGGACATTCAGAAACACTACTTAAATTCCTACCCAATTGCAGTCTTTCTTACCTCTGTACACCCGTGACTCATTTGACTCAGCTTAACTATTAGCAATAAACAAGTAGTCCTTGATTTATGAGCATTCTTTTGGAGTTATGATGGTGCTGAAAAAAGTGACTTATGACTAGTCCTCACACTTATGACTGCTGCAACATCCCTGCGGTCATGTAGTCAAATTTAGGCACTTGCCAACGTGCATGTATTTATGGCACTTGCAGCATCCTGTGGTTACCTGATTACTGTTTGTGATCTCCGGGGGGGGCTTCCAACACGCAAAGTCAACGTGGGAAACCAAATTCACTTGCTGACTATGCGATTCACTTAACAACGGGGGCAATTTGCTTAACAATGGAGGCAAAAAGGTCATAAAACTGGATGTGACTCACTTAATGACTTAGCGACAGAAGTTCCAGCCCAATTGTGGTCGTAAGTCAAGGACTATCTGTAAAACACTTCTATTACATCAAACACATTATTATACGATTTCGGCATTCAAATGCCAGAATGGGATTAGCAACCGTGTCACACTTCAACATGAACGAAGAGAGATTGTACTATCAACATTGGTTATTAATTTAAAACTGGTCATACTGCCGTATAAGTAAATTCTGCAGGTGGCTGAATTGGTTATTTATCAAAAATACAGTTTTGATTCTTCCTTTCACATTTTGTTAAAATAAAATTACAGAGTATTATGTTGCCACTGGAATTCAACGTGTTGGCCAATAACATATAGCAAGGAACCTATGGATTAAGACTTAACTTCAGCATGAATATATGCTGTTTGTCACAATTTCTGCATAATGCTGAACAAAATAAAACAATTCCTTTCCTTGTAAGCTGTGGAGAGGAAAGAAAGATAGGTGGCAATTGTTATCAGCTCTTATTTCAAAATTGATAAAAGTTCAACATTAACAGGTTTTAAATTTGAGGAAAATTCAAGAAATCCAGATTGTCAAGAAGGCATCTGCACAAAATCCGGATAAACGTAGGGGACCTTCTTGTTTATGGAGTAAAAATCATGAATTTCAGCCCCGTATAAATATTTGCAAGTTTCTGGGGAATTCTGAGGAAAAGAAAGAGTTTAATAAAAGGGGATTTCTGTAGCTCAGGGTTGAACCGTGGAGTCCTTGGTGCTCTCTGAGCTTTTTTTGCTGGCAGACGTTTCATTACCTGACTAGGCAACATGATCCGTGCGGAAAGACAGAAAGATTTCAAAATTCAACCATGCAAAAAATAAACCAACAAGACACTTACCCACGCAGTCACAGGTTGCAAAATTACTCTGTCCTTTCTTTGTAGGTGTATCAATTAAATTCTTTGTAGGGGTATCTAAGAATGTCATGGGAGATTCAAGAAAACTACTGAGTGTATTCTTGGTTGGAGAACACCTTAAGTTCCCAGTACCCTGTTGCTTTTCAGTCTCTAAAGTTCTTAATGTTGGAAATGTAGCTTCACTTACATGCTCCACATTTCTAACAGTATGCATGGTATCCCCTGGCAGGGCATCATCACTGTTACGGGGGATCAGTCGCAGATTTTGATCCTTTTGCTCCACAGTGTCCTGTGGTCTAGCTTGGTTTTCCTCGCAGATGTGGCCAGCTCTCCGACTGAAGATCTGAGAGAAAGGATGCAGCTGAGGGATATTCGTGGTTTGTTGTACCTGAGAATTCTTGTCTTTTTCTGTAAACATCTGCCCGTTTTCACTTCCTTGTTTTATGCAAAAGTCTGTTTTTAACTGAGGAACGGTCAGCAGATTACTAGAAAGCGGGGCTCCACCTCGAAGAGCCCCCGGGACCCCACTCTGGCTGCTGGCACCTTGTGCATCGCTAAAGCCGGTTGTTTTGAGGGGCTCCGGCACCATTTCACAGCCCAATGGCTTGCTTCTTATTTTGTCTTGTATTGAAGCCGGTAAAGGCCGATGGAATATTATTTGAGTTTTGGGAAGAAATAACACCGCTGGTTTTTGCTGGGATGACAAAGCCTTCCGATTCCGCGTCTTCTGTCCTTTGGGTTTGGAAGATTTTTTCCCCAAGGCTGACAGCTTTGCGTCTTGCGATGCAATGCGCCCAAGTCTGCGCAGTTTAGAAGGCTTTTTCTGTACGTCCTGCAATTCAGGCGTGTACTGGCATTCTAGCTGGAGCTGACTTGGTTGGTCTGGTACTACTTGAGGCTTCTTCTTCAATCTTTTGGCCCTTGGTACCGATTTCTCGTTCTTCCGGGGTGGCTGCCTTTGCTTGACTAACAAGGAGCTGTAATTGTTCCTCCCAAATACAGATTGTTTCTTCTGCAATAGGCACTGATCCTGCTTATTTTTTGATTGCATATCAGATGGTAATCGACCGAGAAGGGTTGTTGTCGCCTTCGGACTGGGACTTGCTCTGCTCGATTCAATTATTGCTGCGAGTTGAGTTAGCTGGGTGGCTACCTCTTCTTCATCTTGGCTGTGAACGCCACCCTTAAAGACCGAATTACTTTTTAAATTCAGGTTGTGAACAGCCTTTCCTTCCCATTTGCCAAGCGTCTCTCCTCTGCTCCACCATTGTCTGACGGTACTCGAGTTTTTGGAACATGGACCGAGAGCAGTTTTATGATGAAGAGGACATTTCTTGGTAGCAATACCTGAATTTCCACCAGACACTAAAGCAGAGAAAGGTCTGGTGTCTTTTGGGGTGCAATGCAACCTACGCAGTAAGTTAGATGGACCTGGAGATTTACTGGGGAACTCAGAAATAGCACCTTGAGCTTTGTAGAATAGACCCTTAGGGAGGATTCTCCTCTGAGAGGCAGGATGGGGAAAAAGCTGCTGATCTTTTTGCGGGCAAGTCCCTTTTATTACTTTCAGTGCAGACGATTTTAAGGGACAGGGGTTGTCCTTTTTGCAGCTGTTCAGCAAATGCGACGTTTGCTGCTCTAAACCCTCTGGTTTGGCTGGTGAAGGAGGGCCCAAAGGGGCCTCGGACAAACGTGTTAATGCCTCAATAGCCACCACCTGCTCCACAGTTAAATTTCTATTTTTAATCAGAGATAAAAAAGTTGACTGAAGTTGCAGATCTTCAGGTTGGGAATCCTTAGTAGGAATATTCGAAGCACCATCATCAAGACAAGCACCCTTTTCAAGCCCAGGAGTACAGGGTGGCTTGTCCTGCAAATGTAAAAGTGAAATGGTTTGCAAAAGTGAGTTTTCGGCTTCCTGGATGGCGTTTGGGTTTTCTGTCTGGTGGCCTACAACATAGTCCTTCTTTTCTGGAATAGCACCATAGGTTCCAGTTGCTAAAGGGTAGAGGTTGTTCAGCTGAGCCGCTCCACTCCAGGAGGCCCTGGAGTTACTGTCATTGCAGCTGTTGGCCAGCTCTGCAGTAGTGTTCACATCTGCTTTTTTCAGTGTGCTCACATCTGATTTCAGTGATGTGTCACATTCTGCTGGTGAATGTGGTATGTTTTTAATGCCATTTCTAGCTGTATGTGCAAATAATTTGGGCGCCTCATCTATAATGCTGGAAGAATAGGCCAGTTTTGCATCCTCTTCAAAATGCGTTAAGTTCTCATCCCTGGTTCCAGCTTTACAGAGATCTCCATTCACGTGGATGTTAAGTGACGGATTTTCATTCGGCACCCACTTCTCTGTTTCTAAGCCGGCCATACTTCCTTTTTCATTTGTCTGCACATCTTCCCAGGGCAGTGAGTGGTTTGCTTTCAACTTGTATTTTTCACCCTGGCCATGCGCAATATGTCCCACAAGCTCTGCTCTGCAGCCATTTACTAGTTTGCTTTTTAGATCTCCCTGCAAAACAGTACAAATACATTTTAGCAAACGCTGTTCACCACAGGATTTCATAAACGCTAGTAGTTCTCATGAACAGTGCAGTGCAGAAAAAGTGGCGACACCATATGAAAGTTTACAATTGCTACCTAACTAGTTGTATTTCAAAATAAGTGCCACCCAAGATCAGATTCTGGAACAAGGTACAAACTGTTTACTCATAAGGAATTTATACTAAAAGCAATAGCCCCCATACAAAAAGCAACCACAATATTGACTACCAAAGATTTGTTTTGTATTTAAAAAGAGACAATACAATAACAACAATTTCAAATGAAAGAGATGTTTGGTCTAGTTGTTAAGGTACCAGGCTAGAAACTGGGAGAGGTGAATTCTAATCACTTTGAGTTATTTATAAAAAAAAAAAAAGTTAAAGATGTGAATGAATGAATGAATGAATGAATGAACAAATGAATGAACAAATGAATATACATCTAGCCTTACTTTCTTTTCTCATGAAAATGCTTAGCTAAAATGTGCATCTTTAGTGTAGCCTGGTAATCCACCATCTGAGGAAAACAACAATTCAGAGACACCAAGTCAGTATCAGACATCACAGAAGAGAGATGGATTACTTGTACTTTATACAAATAGAAAACATTGTAGAAATGTTTTCAGAAGCAAGAATAAATCTTTTGAATTGAACCATTGAATTAGCAACCGGCAGTTTGAAGCCTTCGGGTTTTTACTTTTGTGTGCTATTTTTGCCAGTTATGGAAAGAAAAACCCTGAAACTGAAGCTTCAAACAAGGACAAAGTAATATTTGGCACACTGTAAATTATCATGCTTCTAAGTAAGGTGGCCACAGAAAAACTATTTGTAATATTACACCAGGCTACAAAATGAGAAGACATCCATGAACAGGAATTGAAATTATGCATTTTCTCTAGCTTTAAAATTCAAAGCCAAACAATTGAGGCATTTACCCTGAATACATAACAAAATTATAGAATTACAGCTGCCCCAAATGAGCTGTTTGTCAGAAAGAACTGGATGTATTATTCCCACAATGTTAAGCTGCAACTATAAGTAACGCAAGCACGACTGTTAACCTTGGAAAGAATGCCATTTCATAAACTGGTGGTGACCTGGCAACATTAAAATATTGGGTTTACAGAATGTGCCTTTTGGTTTTCCATTTTATGTGCCCTCAAAACCACAACAGGGGAAGGGAAGCGCAGCTTGCCAACTCCATGGATGGGTACATATATATAGGAGGAAAAAAAGAACAGAGTCTCCATATATTAAAATTTAATTCATAGAAACTGTCTCAGAGCAATTCAAGGTTTGTTTCTTATCGTGGGCTGTTAAGAAAAAGAGGGTGTTGTGAGTATATAACTTCTGCAGAATATTAGGGTAGGTTATTTTGCAAGCACTTCGGGGTTGAAGAGCGCCATCAAAATAAAGGTAACTGAATCTTCCGAGGCTAATTTGGGTCTCAGCCTGCCCACTCTATGAACAAAAGCAACAAGAAGACCAACATTCACAACATGTGTATGTAACAGGAGAGTCAAGTGTCAAAACTACTGTGCAAATGGCCCTATATTCATCAGCTCAAATTCCTAATGCAACTCAGGTACATAATCATTGAAACCATACCAGTTCTCTCATATAAGACTACGCATTTGGCCCCGTCAAAGTACCCTTTCTAGTCTATGGTCTAGTGCAGTGGTGGTGAACCTATGGCACGCGTGCCAGAAGCGGCACTCAGAGCCCTCTCTGTGGATACGCGCGCCATGCCCCGGAGATGGCAATCGTCCCTCTTCAACCAGCCGCCCGCTAACTCGCCAAGGTCCCACATGGCTGGATGCATCCCAGCATGGCTGGTTTCTCTCCCCCGTCCCATCCCTCCTGGCCTCGCATGCTCTCCTTTTCCCGGGCACGACCCATCTATGCTTCTCTGAAATGCTGGTGGCGGGCTGCGGACCCCAAGAGTGTGCCAGTCGAGGGGCTGGCAGGCTGTGGCTGCTGACGGACACCGTCGGCCCCCATGCGCTCGCTGGCCTCTGTGTGCGGGGGCCGATGGTGTTAGGCCAGTGGTGGCGAACCTATGGCACGGGTGCCAGAGGCGGCACTCGGAGCCCTCCCTGTGGGCACACGTGCCGTTGCCCCAGCCTTGCCTCCCCCTGCGACCCACTCCTCTCCAGCAGCCCCCCTGAAGGAGAGTCGCCCCTGAGCGTGGCCCACACGGAGCAGTGCAGCCAAGGACATGGCAGTCAGGCAGCGTAGACAAGACTCTGCCCTCACACCCCATCATGCAGTTGATGCTGCAGGGCGCGGGCAGAGGGTATGGTCGCCATAGTGCTGCTGGGCTGCCTGGGCGATCTGCGGCAGGCCCTGGAGGCGGTGAGTGGTCCTGTGGGCAGGCGGGGCGGGGGATGGGGGGGGCAGAGCGGGGGCGAGGCAGGGGGTGGAGCGGGGGCGGGGCCAGTTTTTGGGCACTCGGTCTCTAAAAGGTTCGCCATCACTGTTATAAACTATATTTTCCTTTATGGTCTTCTTTATTGCTACAGTTAAGCTCTGCAACCAATTTTTTTAAAACAACAGCAATAGAAAGATTGAGGGCAATACTAATTCATCAAATTTTTATCATATTCTCAACCACTTGTTTTCCAGTTTGTTCCAAAGAATACATACTTTCAAGAACAAGTCTTCCCTATGTGGTACTATCTGATTTTCTGCATTTCATTAGCTATTTTATATAAGTCTGAAGAATTCTTTGAATCTGGGGATACTCTTTTTCTTTCTCTCTCTCTCTCAAGCATGCATGCACACAAAACAGTCACATTATACAAGGGAAAAGCAATTCAAACAATTATGTTTAAGGTGGTGGTAATTAACTAGCAAGTTTATTACCAATTTACCACACCTACTGATGATCTTCATAGTGGTGGATGATGCGACATCTAACTGCAGAAGCTGTATAATGCTCCATATATTTTATAATACAGGCCTAATAATTAATTCTGCAGGTTTTAAAGATGCATAGTCAGCCCATTTGGATACCCTTTGCCATAATCTTCACCAGGCTAGCATTTTCTTTTTATTGTAATTATCGACTGATTTTATATTGTCCTACAATTAAATATTTGTCAAGCAGTTGTTCTGCTTTGTGCACTGGTTGTCTGGTGCAGAAGATAACCATGTATTCTAGAAAGAAAAGTTAATTTTAGGATACAAGTCCACGTTCATCTGAAACGGTCCTATCTTTTTATATTTCCATCTGACCCCCTCCATAAGTTTCACTTGAAAACACTGGGCCCAAAATCAACATATAAAAAATTAATTGCACACACACAAGAAACGCAACTTTAAAATATTGAAAGATGGAGAGATGCAAACCTATGCCTCTTCACATTTTAAATTCATTTGAACAACTAATTTTCATCACAAATGTGGCAGAAATTGGGTAAAATAAGAGCTCATCTTACATTCAATCAATCAATCATATTTATTTGGTCAAAGACCAGCAAAATTTAAAAGAACAAACAAAAACAAACAA